GCTAAATCCCTGGTCCGTTATTTCTTTTTTGTAAAACTTATGTACTGCAAATGTGTACTAAGAAAAAAATTGTTTTTGACACAAAAAGAAATATCATCTTTTGAATAAAATATCAATCTTCAAATTAAAGCAAACCTTAAAAAGCAAACATTGAAATTTTCTTGTACTTCTGTCACATTTCTGCATAGTTTTTACTATTACAAATAAGTACTATCAACCATATCATGACTTTTTTTCCTTGAGGTGGGGGTCTTTCAAGGCTCAGTCTTGCTTTGAATTTTTGGGCTCCAGGAATTCTCTTGAACAGCTGGAACTTTAGTCTCACACTGCACCTGGCCATTAACTAATGTTGAGGTAAATTCTGTCTTCAAAGGAAAGGTATTTATGGAGCTATTTTGAGCTAAGTTACATGATTCTTTCTGTACTGACTATTCAATTATAATTAAATTATGTGCTCTAAATTTTACCCATATAAATTGTGAAAATATGTTGTTATTTCTCCATATTACTGCCATTCCTTATATATATAGCCAACCCAAAAGTTGTTGCTAGTAGAATCTCGTAGAGTTTTAAATCACACACTGAATTTCTTCAATTGACTTTGACCATCACCATTACTCATGAATATGCCCTATAACTGTATAACTCCTTTTGCATAGAACACTCTTTTATAACTCATTTCTGATCATTGAACAAGAATTTAACAAGCTTGGCACAAGCACCAAGCCTTCTTGATAGTTTCTCTACTTCACATTCCTTAAAACATTGGTTTTTGTGTGTTTTTCTTGACACTTGGCACTCAGCATTTTCTCCTAGACTGTAAGCTTTGTGATGCAAAAATTATTCATAGCTGACTGTGCTTACTATGACAATTTGTTCACAAAATGTGGTAAATGAATTTTATTGAATTGCTTAACATTATACATGAAACACATAATTACTGATTGATCTGTCTTGTACACAGTTTTATAGTTACGGGAGGATAAATTTTATATCAGAGGAAATATTTTCCAAATAATTCTCTGAATCTGTTGGCTAAACTGCTTGAGGCATTGACTAGAAAGTTGGGCTATAGTTCTATAATTTATGACTTTTCAGACAGGAAGGGAAGAATATTATATATTGCATAAGTTTTAAAAACTATACAGATATTTTGCTCTTATGATTGCATGTAATAAGTCATCATAATAGTAAAATTTGATTTCTTGAAGTAAATTTTTCTTCAACATGTTACATAGAAAAACAATGCCCAAAACATTAAAAAGGATTTATTTCACCCTCTAAACATCATAAAAGCAAAACCAATAAATTCATTAATAAAATGAATAGCTTTTGAAATAAACCAAAAAAAATCTTGATTATCATGTTTTTTGAAATTTACACCTACAATTTTTGACATGATATGCCATAATTTGTTCAAGTAGCAAATGGTATAAAGTTAATCTAAATGAAATTTTTAACAGTTTTTCTGCTTTTGGAATTTATTCTGCAAGCATTTCATCATCATAATATATCTGCATTTCCAAAAAGTTGAATGCTAATGTTTTGTTCTTTATTACTATGAGAACAGAAACCCAAAAGCTATAAAAGAATTGTTTAACAAAATAGCAATATCTGAGCAAAATGTGAAAGATTTTAAAAATTTACTACTTGGACATTTATATTTCTATATATCTATGCAATTTTCTCATCTTTATTGAAAGAATCATCTCTTTAAAAAATCTTCCCTTAAATAATGTTTTATACTTGATGTATTCTGGTAGTGCATACTTCTGATTGAATTATATTAATACACCTTTTGTTCTGTTTGTGTTGGACCAGTAAACCTTACTTACAAAAATGTAGAAATTAGCCAAAACAAAAGAAATAAAATACAGTCTGTGGGCTTGCAATAATATTCAAAGAAAGTGCTAGAAATGTTTATAATAATATTGTACTAATCAGGTTTTATACTAATAAGCAACAGGAGCAATCAGATAATACTGATAGGAATACAAATAGGTACAACTATTTAAAAAACTGGCAATATCTACTAATGCTAAATGTATTTATTCTCATCCCCTGATCCAGCAATTCCTCTTCTAGAGAAAGTCTGGAGCCCATCATACTCAGTTCTAAAAGTACTTATGTATGTTTACCACAAAATCTGCTCAGGAGCATTCAAAGCAGCAGTAAACCATTCAAAACTTGAAAAAAACCCAAGTATAAATAAAGAGGGCTTTAGATGAATTAATTGTGATGTATTCATATAACAGAGTACCAAATGGCAATGAGAATAAGTTTGTGTTACATGCTAAAATATGTGAAATCATATAAAATATTGTTCAGAAAAACAAAACAGACTGAAATACATACTTACATACATGATTATATGTCAAGGGAATGATTACTTTTGGGATAGTGATGCTTGGGAAGGCATATGTTGATGGGACAGGTGGTATATTGACACTTCTACTTTGTGATTTGTGATCTCTTCACCTGGATGTGTCCCTTTTATGAAACTTTATCCAGAAAACTGAAAACTTATTTGTAATATATATATATATATATATATCAATAAAAATTAAAAATCTTTAAGACCTATGAAAGAATGTTCATACCCATAAATCATTTAGTTATAAATGTTGGTGCTTTGGAGTTGTTATTCTTGCCTCCATACTGTCCATCAAAAATTTTATTTTTTTCTACAGTACAGTTAGATAAAAGGAATAAGTGTGGTGTTCCATAGAGCAATAGAATGAGAGTGGTTAACAATATTGCAACATATTTCAAAATAACTTGAGAAGATTGTTCTCATCACAAAGAAATGATCAGTGTTTTAGATGAAGGATATGCTAAATATCATAACTTGCTCATCACTCAAGGTGCTCATTTATCAAAACCTCACACTGTCCCTCATAAATATGAATAAATTTTATGTTCCAAGTAAAAACAAAATAAAAATGAAAAATAAAAAATTAAATTCAATTTAAAAACAAATTAGGATTAATTTATGATAAATACACTTTGTCTTAATTTTTTCCTTTATTTATTTCATTTTGTTTGCTTAACATATTACCAATAGACTTAATGAAGAAAGAATAGCTTTCATAAAGACATCAAATTTACAAGTCTTTTCCAATAGAAGGAGCTTCCCTTTCTTTACTATAACAAATCAAGTTTCAAGGACCATCACTGAAAGTGAAAATATTTAATTTTTATATATGATTAAAGTTCTTCATAGAATGAAAAACTACTCTCATCTAAGACTAGTCTAGGAAAAGAAAAGTCTTATTTGATTTATGAAAGAAACAAGAAAATTTGATGAAGCCAAGAAGTATCACATAAACTTCTACATTGGGTATATTACTTTCATAGAAATTATGTTTGGTTTATTCATAAAAAGCTTTTCTAACTGAAATCATTTTATATGAATGAAGATAAGTTACTATTATGATCATCAGTTTGAAATACTTTTTGTGAATTTTAATAGAACTATTCAAATCAGAGGATGCAGGGATGAAGAGTATTGTCTAGGAATATACTGTAACAAATGACATGGTGAATTGACCCTAAACAAGTTTCCCTTTTTGATTAAAATCTTTTACTTACTGACCTTAAGTATTATCAACTACACTAACATGATTTCACTAAAAAAATGCATATTATTTCCTATGATATTAAATATTTTAAAAGAAATTATGGTAAAATGATCAATATCAATTGCAACATGAACTTTGTACTCCATTCCATGAAATTTTCATAAATATAAAAGCTTCACACATTGAGTCAGTAGAAGTAAAATTTCTGGCAGTTGTAAATTTACTAAATCATGGTAAAATATTTTTCACTGAAAATACAGTGATTCAAAGTAGCTCAAAATCCTATTTCAGAATAAAATCACTAACTTAGGAAGTATAATAACATTTTCAGCAAGATACTTTTTATACAGGCATATCAAAATAACACAACATTCTGTAAGACAGTTTATGTGACACATTATGCTTTTCACAGTAGTCCAAAAATAAAAAAGATACTAACAGAAAAAATATTCACATACCTCAAATGGAAATTAATAAACCCATAGTGTACACTAACTACTTAACTTCAACCCTCTTGATAAGCTTGGTAGCCATACAAATGGAAATTGTATGGTAATTATGTGATGAAAATAAAATGTATATTGGGGGTTCAACTGTTTATATGAAAATTATCTTGACTTTATACATTGTTTGATTAAGAACAGAGGTCAAATCATCTGTCTAGACTGTTATCCTCCTTAATTTAGTTAAAAAGAAAAGAAGCCTATCTAATATGATTGGAACATGATACAAAATGACATGTCACATAATAATCTTATAACTATTATAATCTTATAATTATATATAATTAGATTCATTATAATAGTTTCTCTAAAAAGGTAATTCTTCATATAGAACATGTCTAATGATTTTAATGATTTATTTATGATCATGCCTTCATGTATTACTGAACTAGGTCATTAGAAAATAGTACCCTTAGCTTTTGCTCATTTGACTTAATGTCTAGATATATCAGCAATTTTCACAATATAACTGATCAATTAATCCTTAGGTTCTATATTTCTGCCTTTTAAAAAGTTAGTAATGTCATTTCAAATTACTAAATGTTTCATAACTTTTAAAAAGAAAGTAAAACACAGAATATATAATTCACTTAAAAATTCTAAAAGCAGTTAGTACAAAGCAAAATCTGGATTTTGGAAATAATTTGTTTTTCTAAAATAATATCACCTACAAATAACATAAAATTCCAGTTTTTAAAAATTTCATGAATTGTTAAAAATAAAGGAAATTACCTGTTTTTAGAGAACTCAGTAGGTTGCTGGACTATTTTAGATAGAAAAAAATACAATTTCAGTGATACTTCTACTAAATCAATATAGAATTGCAAATTTCTCAGCGTCATCAATAACAAGTGCTTGCAACCTAATGTAAGGGCTTTGTAAGTTCTCCAACTGTTAAATATACAAATTGACTCACCTGAGTAGCAGTGTCGCTTCCCAGAAGTAAAATCCCGAAACTCGTGTCCGAAAATGTCTCACGTGGGCCATGATACGGAGAGATATTCACGATCCTGAAAATAGTCTTATGCCGGGCATGGGAATCAGAAAGATAGGAATGAGAATGAGCAGCCTAACCTCGCATGGGGCTGGTGGAAACGCAGTGCTTGCGTGCTTCAGTACCCTGGACAGCTCCCTGCGGTGCTCGGAGACCCTTTGGTCCAAACGCTTGATATTCCCGTTCTGTCCTCCTTCTGAGCAAGGAACAGATGGGAGAGACACGAGGTTACAAACGTGCAAGTGATTTATACATTGAAATCAGGGAAAGGCGGGAAATGCAATGTCTGAAGTACCTAGGTTCTGAGCAACAGTTCACTGCTGCTCTCAGCCGGGGAATGCTTGTCTTTTCTTGGCTCAGACCTATGGTTGGAGGAAGAACAACAGCAACAGCTAAACCGGGGATGCTTCTCTCCACCTGCTCCAAGCGGCGCCTGTCTGAATCTCGTTCTCCACCCTCGTGAAAAATCCCAGCCCGGCAAAGAGGCGGAGGAGGGGCTAGATGACCTGTCTTGCTCGCCAATCACGACAGCACAGCGGGATAGAGTGACAGGCCACTTACAAGGGGAGGAGGTGCCTAGCATTTTACAGGGAAAAGAAAAAAAAAAAAAAGGAAGCAGCGAGGAAACATTGTAAAGCCTAAACCGCTCCTGGAAGGAGTTGGGGAAAAGAAAGCTTCAGGGATGAGAATTTGAAGAGTCAGCAGTTTGGGAGATTAGGTAGCAGAATCAGGAGGGAGAGACCCTCCTTCCCTTGCGGCAAAATGCAGAGTTTAGTAAAGACGCGTCTTTCCGGGTGGGACCCTATCTCTTAGATCTTACATCGAAGTGGAAGAGTCCACAGTAAATCCATACACTTGAAAAGGGCTAGCTCAGCTAAGGCAATGTGGTGCATGAGCATAAGCAGAGGACAGAAGAATCAGCAGCTTCTAGAATCCTCTCAAAAGCCTGACCAGCTTCTGGTCACTAAATGATGTTGACTGGTTTAATTTTAGCATCCTTTAGTCATAATGAGGGTTCTAAAATGATGAAAGTGGGAAATTTCAAGAGATTGCTGCTAGAGCTACAGTGTTTCCTACTTTTGAAACCTGTCTTACATATTTTAACAATAAACTGAAGAGAGCAGAACATTTAGGCCATATAGTATCATTTGGTGAATCTTTGCTTTCATCATCTCAAATCTCAGTGTCTCTCTATGCCTCTTCATGGCTCTCTTTATCTCCCCTCCTCTTTATCTTTTCTCTGTCATGACCCTTTACACTGGGTCTTATATTTGAAGATAGGAAAGGCTCTCCCTCCCTCTCTCTCCCTCTCTCCCTCTCTCTCTCTCTCTCTCTCTCTCTCTCTGTATTTCATGTTTTTCAAAGTAGTGGAATTTAAAAAAGGAAACCAATGCCTAGACCTTTATAGTGGAAATTTTTATTTACTATCAGCCAGGATTGTAATGCTCATCTTTTGAATTTTAGCTTTTCCCCAAAACTTCCTCAGATATTTATTCTGAAAGTACTACTTTAATTCTCTTAACTTTTCCAGTGTCTCAGTTACATGTCAAGAATGTCTTCTTAATCTTCCTCACACAGTTTTTTCTTAATTAAATTAAAAAGCAACTAACATATTAGGTATTCTTACAGTTTTCTACTTAACTTGAAGAATAATTATCACCACCTTTCAACTCTCAAATGAGATAATTAAAAAAATTCCCATTTAATCTTTAGTAGATAAGCTTTTCAGTGAAAATAAAATTTTCTGGATTTATTTCTGTATGTTCTTTATTTTACCCATATTTTCACATCTTGGTTTTCTGATTTAAATCATAAACCTCCAGAAGTCTGAAAAGAAACATCATTTATTCTACCTGGAAATATTTGCAACTTCAGAGGGTTCATACCTTTTTAATCAAATTAGTGTTTCAATGGATCTTTTGAAGGTTCAGTAGGCAAAATGTTTTTTTAGTAGACTATCTTTTAATAGTACTAATTGATTTTTAAATACATAATAAAACATTTAATAAATTTGACTTGTGAACAAAATTAATATTACTGAATTTTACTACTTTAACAATTGTTAAAGAAAAGATTTATCAAAACACTTGTTAAAGACAATAAACAAGACTTTACTTAAGACTCTTCTGGAATGCAGAATACTAAACTGCAGAGCATTAGGCTAGCATAGGCTGGATAATACCAAAGACAAAGAGAAGATCAAAACCAGCATGAAAAGAAAAGAATGGGCATCCAATCAATCAATCAAACAAACAGACAAACAAACAAAAAAGCTTATGTAGCCATTCTAATATTAGACACAATTAAAAGAAATGACATATTTACATGCAAAATGTATTAGGATAATGAATAAATCCAGTCAGATATGAAATTTCCAAAGCTGCACCTGATAAGATAGGTTTAAAATATGTAAAATATTTTTAAAAACTTATTGCTCTAGTGGAATATAGCAGTTTCAACATTCTTACAAACAACCAGGTAAAATGGTAAGGTATAAATTTTCAAAGAAAGTATAAGGAAATTTGATCTAATGAATATTTATACAACATTACATTTCAAAATTTTGTAGTAAGCATTGCTTGTAAACTGACATTGGAGATCTATAAAAAGTGAACACATTTTAAACTATTAGCAAGTTTCTACTGTTTTTCAAAAGTGCTATCTTGTAAAAGAATGTTTATAACAAGTAAAGTTAAAAGGAGAAAATATATTGCAAATCAGAAAATATTTATATTTAAGGATAATAATGCTACAAACTAAGTGCAGCTACACCTGAAATTAGAAATGTGTATTTTTAAATGATCGTAAAACAAAGTCTACAAATTAATGACAAAAATATACAACTTAAGATGTTAAAATGAATGACTGAATAAATTTAATATATATAGGAGGAAAGAAAAAATAAGAGTTTACATAATAAGATAGAAAAGACAGAGAAAATGATAATCATGAAAGACAGATTTTTTTTGAGTAAATTTTAAATTTAAAAAATTTCTCAAAAAAATGAACAAGGGAAAAAAACTAGAAAAATAAAGAGCACTTAGTACTGAAATATGATGAATATCATTATAATCAAATTATTGGTAGCCAGGATATTTCCTAAAAAAGTCAACAAGAAAAATCTGACAACCCAATAAAAGACAGATATGGAAATATTTCATGAACATGGACTAAAATGTGAAATAAGTTATTAAAATACTCATCTGTGTTTGTGATTAAGGAATAAAGATGAAATTATGAGGCACAGCTTTAGAGCTAATTGATTACCAGAGTTGACTCTATTAGCTCACTCAACTGTTGAGGTATCTACACTAAGGAAGCAATTTAGATGTTTTATCCTGAGGGATGAGCACTCTGGGTTACCTTGTATTTGTTTCGTTGTTTGGTGAATTTGTCTATTTATTGAAATGACTTGTCATGAAATCACAAAGAGACAACACACTGGATTCCTTGAATTCCCAAACAATTACTGTGAGTTGTATGTCATGCAGAAAACCAAGCTCCTTGTCTTCATAAAGGCTGATTACTGGCATGACGAAAGTGTACTAGTTGGCCAGATGCTATGGTACAGTTTCTATTTCAATGAAACCCCTACTATGTCTCTGACAGATGAGATCTTCCTTGAAGCCAGGACATAATCTGACAAAGGCAATGTAAACACAGATTTTCTAAATCACTAGAAGTGAAGAAGAAATTGATTATCTTGCTTCTACTCCTAGGTTCCTGAACTCGTATATTCTCACCACTAGTGATGACATTTTTTGTTAGGGCTGCCATAGCAAAATACTACACACTGGGTATTTACAGAATCAAAGTTTATATTCTCTGAGTGTTGGATGTGGGATGTTCAAAGTCAAAGTGACATGCAGGTTTGATTATTGTTTAGTGTTCACTTGTTTTTTAGTTGGTAGTGTGTCAGTAGGAGGCGTGTGTGTGAAATTCTAGATTTGTGACAATTCTCAGTTCTCATTACTTCATCAAGTTTTTTTGTATATTTTTATGTTTTTAATATCTTTTTATTCACATATGTTTGTAGTATATAATGATTGCATTCATTGTGGGGAGTTCATACATGTATGGCACATCTTAATTCTTTTTTTTTCTCTTCCCATCCCCTCCAAAACCCCTCCTTCCATCTCATGAACCCCTTCCCATTTGCAAATGATCTATCTTCCTATTTCCTATTATATATCTTTTGTTTTTAAAAATATGCTTATTTTGTTCTTTGATTTATTTATATTTTGGGTTTCTTATATAAGAGAAACCACTTGATATTGAAGCTCATGTATGTGATTTATTTCACTTAACATTATGGTTTCTAGTTGCTTCTTTTCTAGCCCTTTGGCCTATAGTCCTTTAATTGTTCCATCTACTTCCATTACTTTTGTGTTAAAGTTTGTCTATTGTTTTTTCTTATGTAAAGTTTTTTCTTGTCTACGGGCTGTGGCTAAAAAGTCTAGATCTTAATTAATATAGTCAGTAGAGTATTCAGAGTAAACTGTTGACATAAATATGACCTTTACGTGTTGAATTGTGTCCTCCTAAATGAAGTATGTTGGAATCATGGCCTCCATTGTCTCAAAATGTTACCTTACTTGGAGGATAAGGTCTTTAGAGATGTAATCAAGTTAAAAAATAATATCATGAAAAGACAAAAGTTAGAACAATGATAGTCAAGCACAGAGAGAAGGTGATATAATGAAACACAGGGAGTCTGTAAGCCAAGGAGAGAGGCTGGAAACAGATACTTCCCTCATATTCATTAGAAAGAACAAACTTTGCCAACATCTTGTTTGGATCTTTAGCATCCAGAGCTGAGGCAATGCGTTTCTATTGCTTAAGGCACCCAGAATGTGGCACTCTGTTACAGCAGCTGAACAAAACTAATACAATCAACTCTACACATTTTTTTCTAAGTTCCTGACCATCTAAATCAAATTATGATTGGAAGCAATCCACAGCTGGGAACAGAATAGGCCCAATGGAGATCTTAATGAAAAGAACTGGTAAAGACATTTTCTTTCTTTGGCTGGAAGACAGTTTCCAAATTCTTGGAAAAACTTAGCACAGAGAAATTGTTACAAGGAAATTTAACATTAGAGAGCAGGGAGGATTAGGTCCTCTATCACTGAAGTTGAGGGTATGACTGGAGACCTGGGAACAGGAAGGCCTTGTCCTGCCACTCAGCAGGGGACAGGCAGCACATCTGCCCCTGCATCACTAGCTCTGTGTTACAGAAACCCACCAGACTCCTTCCACTTGTTTACTCCTACCACCAGATCTAAGGGCTCATCAAGAAAATAACAAACAGCTAGAAAGGAAGATCAGTCAGTGCAAGCAGATCTCATGCCAACAACGCAGATTTGCCACTGGAGACAGAAAGTGACTTAAACAAACAAATAAGAAAAAATTTTAAGGAACCTCAAGTGCCCCCGATCACACATGATTTCTGAAGCTAAAATA